CGCAGCCAGGGGCCTCTCCCTCCCCAGTCACCTCGGAAGGCAGCCCCCCGGGACTGTCCCCCCGAGCTAGCTCTGGGGCGCGTCGGGCCTCACCCCACCCTGAGTCTGGTTCATATGGGAGCGCCTTTGTGGCTGCATCCTGCCCATTGAGTGGTCATGGCGGGGAACACATCTAGGCCCAATCTGGGCTTTTCGGGGCTGTTCCCTTGCCAGAAAGAGGTTCCCATCATTCCCGTCCTGCACCCCCAATCTCCTCCTACACCCTCACTCCCTTCGAACACCCTGGATCCTGAACACTTGGACACAACAGGAATTCTCCCATTTCCCACCCGCTAGAGACCATCATCCCACTGGGATGAAGCAGAAGCCTCTAGAGAGCCTTAAACAGCCCCAGGCGTTGGGCCGGACACCCCCCTCTCCACTGCCTGAATTGTCCATACACTGCCCCGTTGGTGTTCTGAAATCTCATGAAAAGAACAGGAAACACAACACACGAGATTCCACATCAAATCCCCCCAGCTTTGAGTAACCCAAGACCCCCCTCTTTTTCGAGTGATCAGAACTTTATAAAAAGCAGAGACTCCCATCTCCGATTTTTTAAAAGCCTCTGGAAAGGATGCAATGCCACTAAAAACAGGTCAAGATATTTTTGCATCATTAAAATGAACAGCCCCAAGGAGTCACAGTCTTTCATCTACAGGTTCACCAGCTCCTGCACCCTCCATGCCTCCTCGTCTTCCTCTACTCCTTCCGCACCAGCACCCGCTCTCCCCTCCCCTGCCCTCCAGTCCCATCCCCTACCCCTTCCTGCATTCACCGCCCCCAGGACACCTCCATCCTCTGGCTCTCCATCCTTCTCCTGTACTACCCAGCCTTCTCCATTCTCATGCTCCCTGCATCCCATATGTTCTTTTTTCCAGCACGAATCTTTAAATCTGTATGCTCTACAGCTCTCTTTTTGTTATTTTGATATAATTATTCAGAAGCACTCCCTCCCATTCCCTCAGTCATTTCACCCTAGATCTGCCCAGCTGAACATTCTGGAACGCGTCCTCTCCTCCTGTCTTTCCCAGTGTTCCACTCTTACCTCACTCTGACTGGCAAAAGTCCTTCTCCCACACGGGGCCCTTCTCTTCCCTGGCTTGTGGCTTTCTCCTCTGGGAAATTAGTTTGTCCTCGTGTTTAAAGGCTCACTTATTTGTTTCTGGGAATCTTCGAGGACTCTTTGGGACATTTCACATCCCACTGCCTGCCTGTGGTTTATACACTGTGCATCCACAGGACTTCCTCAGCCTCCCAGAGAACTGCCCCATGGCATCTGTGGGTGGTCCCACTGTCTGGCCCACCCGGGCGCTCCCCTCTGAAGGATTCCTCTTCTGGTCCTACCTAACATCCTTCCACATCACCACACCTTCTCACTCTCACCTGAGGAGGGAAGCTCCGACTTACAGGATTTGCATGTTGGGCTGTGGAGGCAAAGATGAGAGAGAAAAGCAGAAAGGGGTTCAGCAGGCAACGGTTTTATGGGAAACACGAGACAGGCCCAGAGGGCCCTTCTATTAGGGAAGCACCCCGAGACCTCCAGGCTGCGCCCGTTCCCTCCCCCCGTCTCCCCACAGCTGCCAGACCTCTCCGACCTGGAGTCCGCCTTCCTGCACTTCACCTTCTTACCTGTTGGGAGAGAGACATAACAAGGGGACAGGGCACAGGCCATGAGGGTATGGCAAAAGCCAGCAGGGGAACTGAAGGCACCCAGGGATAGGAGGCAACCCAAGAAGGAGTCACACTTACTGATGATGATGAGAATGCCTAGGAGGAACAGTATGGTAGCCAGAGTCATGCCCACCGTCTGCACGGTGTTGTAGTCTGGGGAAGATAATGAGGACCATCAAGGTGGGGATGGCACCTCAGCCCCACCCAGAGCCCCAGTCCTGGCTTCAGGCCGCCCAGCCGGGGGCCTGCAACTCGGGGATGCTGCAGGCCCTGCCACATGCCCCTCTGGTGGGTTAATAGGGGGTGAGGGCATGGGCTAGAGCATCTTAGCTCCCCTGGGCCTCTCTACCCGCTCCTGCCCTCCCCCAGGGACTCTCTGACCCTAGTTATATATATCACAATCCCCCTCCACTGCCTCCTCCCCGCCCCTGGTCCTGTCCACCACTGTCACTCATCTGGGACACAGCAGCATCCTCTATGGTCTAGCTTCCCCGCGCCCGCCTGCACCCCCCACAGCCACATGAACGCATGAACACCTGTGTCAGATCAGGGTCTTCCCCTGGCTTCCATTGCTCTTGAGAAAAAGCCAAAGTCCTCACGTGGCCCTGAGGCCCTGTGTGAGGAGTCCCTGTTCCTTCTGAGACCTCATCCTCCTCTCCTCTCCACATCAATCCTCTTCCCCAGCCACACTGGTCTCCCTGCTTGTTCCTGGGCATATCAGGCACGGTCCTACCTCACAGCCTTTTCACCTGCTGTTTCTTCTATCTGAAAGTTCATCCTCCAGATATCCACACTGGCTCCCTTCCTCACCAACATCTAGGCTTTATTCAAATACGAGTAAACCTTCTCTGACCATCCTATTTAGACGTTTGCATCTAATCTCATTCCCTCCTTTCGTTTCCTCCATAGGCATTACTTTTATCTAATGTCTAGGCACGGTGGCTCATGCCTGTAATCCCAGCACTTTGGGAGGCCGAGGTGGGAGAGTCACTTGAGCCCAGGAGTTCAAAACCAGCCTGGACCACACAGTGAGACCTCATCTCTACAGGGAATTAAAAAATTAGATAGGCGTATTGGCAAATGCCTGTAGTCCCAGTTACTCGGGAGGCTGAGGCAGAAGGATCGTCTGAGCCCAGGAGGTCGAGGCTGCAGTGATCTGTGATCATGCCCCTGCACTCCAGCCTGGGCAACAGGACCGTGACTCAAAAAAAAAAAAAAAATATATATATATATATATTATATATATATATATATTTATATACTTGAGAATCTGCCCTTTTCTCAGAAATCCTTGTCTGTCTTGCACACTGCAGTGTCCCTAAGTGCCTGCATGGAGCTTTTGCTCAGTACACATTTGCTGAACCATGAATTTATGGAGCTGTCACTCTGTACCAGCAGTGGTCTAGGCTGCTGCCTTCAAGGAGTTGACTTTCACATTGTGACAAAACACTAAACAAACTGACACAAGTTCCAAAGCAACCCAAGGCACGTGACCACAGCTGGTGGGACCTCTCCTGGTGGGACCACAGCTGGTGGCCCTCTCCTGGCAGAACAGACTGCATTTGATCTGAGGTCTGGAGAAGGAAAAGGAGCCTTAGGCAGCTGTGTGGAGAGCTGGGGGAAGAGTATTCCTGGCCCAGGAATCCATCAGTGCAAAGGCCCTGAGGTGGGGGGTGAAATATGAGTGATCAAGTGGGTGGGGGCAACAGGAAGGTGTTTAGAGGGAATTGGGGCCAGATACAACAGACCTAGGGTAATTTGAGCTTCAGTGGGAATGATTTAATAGCATCATCCAGGCAAATCTCTCCCACAGTCCTCATAGGTGGGAACCATTACTATTCTCTGTTTACAGAAGCCCCCAGAGAGGCAAAGTCACTTGCCCGAGGCCACACAGCTAGTAAGTGGCTAAGACAGGATTCAAATCCAGGCAACCTGGCCTCAGAGTCATCACCTTTAAGACTTTCCCTCGTCTGCCTATTTGATGACACCACGGCATCAGCCCAGAGTCCTGGTGGGACCTGAAGGGGGCTCACAGGGGGTGTGTGACCACCCCCATACTCAGTCCGATTCTGCCCTCCATGGACTGATGTGACCTGTACCTATACAGTCACATGGCCAGTGGCTCAGCATGTACTGTGTGGCTATAGCTAAAACCACTTCAGTAGTGACCTGTGGGAACCTGCAGCCACCCTTCTTCTAGCTCCAGGGTACCTCCATTTCCAAATCCAACACTCACCATAATAAAATGGGTCAGGTTCCTCAGTAGCTGTGGGAAGGGAAACAGAGAAAGAAGAGAGAAGGAAAATAAGATTTCGACACTGGGTTTCTTAATGCTTCTGAGGATCCAAAAGGGACCACTGGCCTAAGAATTTCTTTGTGGAAATCTTATAAACAGACCCTTTACTTTGCTTGATACAGGCTGGAGGCAAGGCATAAAACCTGAAGAGTGGAGCATAGGTTGGATTCCAACCTCCACTCTCTCCATGAGTCAGTGCCATCCCTTATGCACCGCACAATCTGCCCAACTGTACATGGCAGTCCGGTCCTAAACTCCTGTGGCATCTGATGCAAGCTATGGACTCATTCCCCCAAAGCACGTACATACTCCCCGTGTGCACATGATGCCAGAGGGCTAAAAGACCTCAGGCCCACGGGAGGACCACCAAACATATCACTCCACTGAGCAGTGTCTAAAACTTCTCAGTCGTTTGAGAGCTCCCAGGGGAGGGTGCTGTAACCACTGCTCTCACCTTGCTCCTGCCACCAAATTCAATAGACGGCAGCCGTGCTGATTCATATCCTATGTTACTATATTGTTAAGACACCATCGATTTTAAGATTAAAAATGGATTTTGTGATAGCGTTCCCAGCGTGTGTGTGTGTGTGTATGTGTGTGTGTGTATGTAGGGAACTCTTACCACACGAAACATACTCATCCATTAGAAGACCCACCCCGGTTTCAAAAATGCCGTCATATGCCCACAATGTGCACGTCTGTGGATTTATATTTCCATCTCCCACCTCCTTGCCTCCAACTATATTCCCCTTCAAGAGTGCTCAGAACGTTCTTTTCATTCAAGAAGTCCATCCTGGATTGCCTGAGCCCACGGGTTCGAGACCTGCCTGGGCAGGCGAGACCTCATCTCTACAATAAATCAAAAAATTAGCCGGGCGTGGTAGCGCGTGCCTGTAGTTCCAGCTACTTGGAGGGCTGAGGCGGAAGGATCACCGGAGCCCAGCAGGTCGAGGCTGTGGTGGCTGGGAGTGGCCACTGCCCTCCAGTCTGGGCAACAGAGTGAGACTCCGATTCAAAAAAAAAAAAAGTCCATCCTGACGGCTAATTTCTCTGACAGTTCTTATTGCATTTGGCCTTGACTAGAGCAGAATTCGATGGAGTCTACCACTTGTGGAGGGGGTCAGGGGGTGCCAGAGTGATGCCCGGTATCATAATTAATGTTCTTCTCCTCGCTTCCTGGCTCGGGGAAGGATGACTCCTGGCCACTTGAGGTTGGGTGGAGCCATGTGACTAATTATGGCCATGAACTGTGAGTGGCAGTAAAGAGGGAGATGGACAAGGGTCATTGTCACTTCTAGGCCGAAACATTTAAATGCCCATGCGAGAGATCTCTTGTGCCTCCTGGCCTGGTGACCTGAATGTTTGAGACGGAGGCTGTTGTAGTTTTCTTTGGTGACCGGTCAACCTGTGATGGACATGTAGCATAAGTGAGAAGTGAATCCTGTGGACATGAGCTACTTTTGGTACTATTTGTTACCATGGCAGACACTAGCCTAAACTGACTGATGCAGGTGGCCCTGTGGCAAGACCCTGAATAGCCATGATTCACACAATGTGTAAGTTTGCCCTTTCCAGATCTCTATCCAATCTTCAAAGAGGAAGTCTTAGGTTGGTGCTGAGAGGTCTTTAACACCTTCCAACCCTTGTTCATCTCCCTCTTTACCCAAGAGAAAGCAGGCCTTGGGCTCAAAGCCTTCAGCAGGCACCAATACTGAGGTAGAATTTTGTGACATTCTTTGCTTTTCTCCTTCATGTATTTACCTAACCTGCAATGGATAGTATGGATTCTGTACCAGGCTCTCTTCTGAGCACATTGCAGATATCAACACATCTCATCATCACAGCAACTCTTTGATATAGGTGCTATCTTTGCCCCATTTCACCAACAAGGGACACTGGACCCAGAAAAGTGAAGTCACTTGCTTAAGATTGTTTTTGTGCTTGCCTTCAATTGAAGGCAAAAAACACTGATTTTTTTTTATCTGTGCTAGTGATATAAAATAAAGTTTTCGAAAGCTAATTCTTTGAAGGAAAAATATTACATAAAGAGCAGTGTGGGGAATGTTTGGACAGGGTAAAAGTCATGAAGGTGGATACTCAAAAGTGTCAAGATGGGGAAACATGGTTTTAGAGTCACCTGTGCTCTGTCTTGCCTTTCCCATCAGATAGTGAGTATATTTGTTTGACTCATCTCTGCTGTAAATCCTGACATTTATAGAAGGCTCTCGAAGAAGTTTGCTGGGATGAATGAATGAATGTGAGGCCCCCCTAGGCCGAAGAACGCAGCATTAATGGGGAAGTGGTTGGATTATCTCACCTTCATCTCCTGGTTTTCCACACACCCTTCCTCCCACAAACTTATCAGGAACCCACTGGGTGAGCACCTGTCCCCGAATCCTTTCAGGTTTCTCCCTGGGAGCACAGTGTTCCATGCAGAAGGTCCTCTGGTCCCTGCTGTCCCAGCAATCTGGGTCCTCAAGGCGAGGCTGGGTTAAGGGTGGGGCCAGGAGGCAGGAAAAGGAATGTGCAGCGCTCCTGGCCAGTTGCCAAGGAGAGATCAGGAAGGAGGTGGTTGCCATGGCAACTGGGGCATCTTGAGAGGCGAAAAGAGGTGATGGGTCTGACACCCAGGCTGGGCGGGGTCCTGTGTGAGGAACTCTGGGCCCAATCTTGACCCCCTCGCCTCCTTTTGCATCTCCTGCTGTTGCCCCTGCAGGACTGGCTTCTGGCCAAGCTGAGGGTCCATTTCAGAGATCCCAGCCCCAGTTGGGCTCATGCACCTCCTTTCTGTTCACCCCTAATTTTCCCTCCTATTCTCTGACAGGGTGGAGAGAGCCTCTTCTCCTCTCCTTTGCACCCCAACAATCCATTAATTAGTTTTCTTAAGCAGCTTGCAGTGTACAACATGCTTTTCCTCCCTGGGATTTCCCAAGACCTGCAGTCCCCTCTCATGCTGTGACTTAGAAAGGGGAGCCTGGGGATGGGGGGGGAGCCGAGGAGTCTGTTCTCCCACCTCTGCCCGTCTGCTGCCATCGATCCTGCTAACCACCATCTCTGCGAAAAGAAGCCCTGGGCTCCCGCCAGGCCTGCTGCCTCAGCCCTGCCCCCTCTCCCTAGGGTGGCTTCCAGCCTCTGCAGCCCCCCCCCCCGCCCTGCTTCAGATTCTGCAGATACGGCTCAGTGCAGCAGCCCCCGCCTGCCTGGAAAGGGGGAAGGGAAGGAGCGATCCAAGTGGGATTGGGGTTCCCTTCACTGCCAGGGTCTCCTCAGCACCCCAGGCTATCCCCTGGCCCTGCCCTCAGGGCTGGAAACCCTTTCTGTGCATCCCCTGCCCCTTAAAGCCTTCTATCCCTTGCTTCTCTGCAGAAGCAGGCTCAGCAAAGGGGCGTTTTAGGGGGCAGGGGTGGGAGCAAATGTTTAAGTGGGTGCATAACTGGGTTACTGGGTGTGAAATGTAAACCAGTGTGCGGCTAGATGGGGGCGGGAGGGCAATCTATGTGCACATCCAAGTGCACCTTCAGGACCAGAAAAGACCACTGGGAATGGGCTGGGAAGAGGGGTCCCACCACCCCATTCTCACCCGTGGAGGCTCGCTGCAGTGGTTGGGGCCCCACCCGATGTTGTCCCCTTTCTCTTTCTATTCCTCTCTCTCCCTGTAGGTCTTCTGTCTCTATCTCGCTTTCTCCCTGCTTCCCTCTCCATGGTTGTCTCAATCCCTCGATCTCTCCGCCTCTGTCTCTAATTTTCGCTCTCTCTTTCTCTGCATCTCTGCCGACTGCTTTTGCTTCTCCCGTTCAATCTCTCTGAATCTCCCTGAGTCTGTCCATTTCTCTTTCTGGGTCTTTGTGTCTCTGACTCCGGATCTGCTGTCTCTCTCCGTCTCTAGCTCTTCGCGGCTCTCTCAATCTCTTTACATACCCCTGTCTCTCTCTTCCTTCAGCTCTCCCTCTGGATCTGCCTATCAGGGGTTTCAGGAAACACCCACCCTGGGAAGCAGTGCTGGAAAAAGGAGGGCTATGGACCCCTCCCCTTGACCACCGTAGCGACCCCGGCATCTTCGAGAAGCGCTCTGGCTGCAGACGCAACCGCTCCCACCCTCGAAGCCCGGCTCTCCCGTCTGCTGGGCTACTGTGCTGGACCAGCCACCCGGTTGCCATAGCGACCTGTCCGAGCATCCCTGCTCCCGGGACGCCACTCTCCACCGCGGTCCCGCACAGGACCGCACCGCCGGGAAGGGGTGGCCAAGAGGCCCGGAGGGGCGCTCGAGGGGCGCCCTAGAGGCTTCCTCCCACGGGAGGAGCTGGCATCCCCTCCCCTCTCCCCTCCCTGACCCACGCCGGCACCCCGGGATCCTCTCTCCTAGCGCTCAGGTCCCGGGGCCCCCCGCGCCCCCTCCCGGGGCCACGCTCACCCTTCGTGGGGCTCTGGGTCGGGGTCGCCATGCTGGGCCGGAGCAGGGGGC